ACTTTCTGCCACACTTCGCGGAAGACCTGGCTGTGGTTTTTTCGACCGGGCTTTGTGACACCCATATAGTATATTAATCTATATTAATAATCCATATACATGGACCATATGGGTGAAATGGACCTTTTTGGGATACTCAAACGGTGAAAACAATGGGACCCCAAAATGACCAAACAAATGGACAAAACTGGATGGAAAACGGACGATCAACCGTTGGATCTTGAAAAATTGGTCAACCCAAGAATCATGGGAATGGGAAAGTGGGATGTAAGTGGGAAAATCGTGGGATATGATGATATTACGATCAACAATATGATAGTTGGGAGATATTGGGAGCGTTTTGAAATAGATATTGGCATTACCTCAAAATGGTATGATTGTTTTAATTGGGACAATGGTGATTCATCTGATTCAGCATCAAACTTGCGCATACCACATGTTTTCAACCCGATTGATGGGGCGAGAAAGAGGCCGTTATAATTGTAGTAATAGTCGATCCAATGTATCTACTTGTCTGTATATGTAATCTACAGTGATCCTATTAGAAGGGAGTTTTCCCCCTCCCCCTATCAAGGTGTTGTTGTTCAATGTTGATCCTCTCATTCTCCCAAAATGTGGGTCTTTCTGACCGTTCAAAGTTTGGGAAGAGTTTCCTTGAGAAGTGGGACCATGGAAAATGACCCATTTCATGGTTTATGTTGACTTACAGATGATTACTTATTCTACTCAAATGGCTCATGCTATAACTTGTGGGTAACCAAATATCCCACTTACTGACCAGCTAACCAACGGCACTATCCATCTAAGTACCCTTTGATGATGAACCATGCCGATTGGTGAAACCAAGCGGGGTCCCACTGAAATGCATGTTTTTGTTTTTGTTTTTTTTGTGAAAAGATCATGTATACTTGAAATGACCGAACACAGGCTCAGAAGGTGTCACAAAGAATCACGCCCCCAACCTGTTTATATAAATTCAGTGGTCATCAGTGCTAGCCATATTAACCAGAGTTGACCAGAGGCTAGCATGCCTTAACCCGAAGAAAAATCACGATGCCCCGTACTCCGGGCTTCCCAGCTGTCCGCAATGCTCTTGGGGCTCAGAGGTGCAACATCGGCCCTTAGCTTGGGAACTGACCTCGGAAGTGGTCAGCAAAAAATGACTTTTTAAAAATAATGAACTTCGATTTTTGGGTTGCTCATTCTCATGAGCTTCTCTGACTGTTAAGTTGTCCCTGCTTTTCTCGTTTTCAGTCGATTTCCTGAGGTCTATAGTCTATAGCAATATATATAATAATGATGATGATCCTTCGGCAGTCCAATGCCAGAACAGACTTGATATACAGTAGCAACACACACACACACACACACCCACACACGCACACACGCACACCACACGTGTGATATCTCGTGCGGAACAGTTATGTTGATGATTGTTGATGCATATGTGCGAGAAATGATACACGTAGGCACGATCTTTCATAGTGTTTGCCGGGAGTTTTTCCAACCTGGTGAGAGAAGCTGATGGGTTCACTACACCCACTCCAGCCACATAAATATCATCGAGGCGGTTCATCCCATTTTCAGAGACATTGCAAACTGTAAACCACAAGTATATGTAACTCAGTGTAAATCCTTTTCGAGTAGCCATCATTGACAATTGCAGGTACCAAATTTCATTTAGTCCCGGAAGAAATTTGAAAGAATCCTCAGTAATCCTCAGAGTTCAAACCATTTAGGTGTTTGAATCCAACCCACATGCCCGTGGCTTCCCCCACGGGCGAAAAATCAATGAGCTTAAAGAGTCACCTCCCAAATGACTCATCATTTTTTCGTAGCAATCCGTAGCATATAATCTATAACCCATAGGATCCATGTATGGTATATATATATATGATTATATATGCTAACATTGGGGGTATATTAATGGTTTATGTTACCATATATGGCAGCACCATGGATCCTATGGGTAATTAGCCTCCCTCCCAAACAAACATCGAGCACTTTTGTCGATCTGCGATATCGTCAGTCCATGTTTCTGGTTGGTGAATGATCAAGGCCGAAAATCAGTGGTGCCACGTAGCGGGCGATCCGTGAAATCGAGCGTTCACCGACTCCCAGGCCCAAACTCCGTGGGTTGGGGGATTTCGGTCATGCATCGCCAAGGGCGAACAGGGCTGAAGTGCGTCTTTGGTCAGATCCACTGACCAGAAGTGGCCATGCTGCGTGTACATGTAGAGTCTACTCATGTAGAGAGTCTTTTTTAGAGCTCACATGAAAGTGCCCACCCCAAGAAAGGAAGCAGTTCTTCCATATACTCTTTTAAGCTTTTATACTTTGAATTTGATCATTAGGTTTCAATCTCTGGGGGGGGCCTGAAATTTTGAAAACACTGACAGGGAACGAAAAGGCCTTGCGTGGAGATAGGTCAGGCGCAAAGAACCACAAATAAACGTTAAATTCGAGCATTCATGTGCCCATTTTTGGCAACCCAATTAATCAGCTACAGTACTCACAAGTCCACAGTACACCTTTCACCCTTCGGTAATCTAACTTCGCAACGGAAAATTCTCCAGCCGTATCCAAGTTCACCTTGAAAAAACTCATGTTGCACATTGTTGGACTACCGGAAAAAAATAATGATGAAATTGTACCTGCCACCCTGGTGGCTGACCTTTGTGTGGGTTTGGCCCCGATAGATGTCGGACATAGATTCTGGGCATGAATGCGACAAGAAGCATTGGATTGGTTAAGGATATTGAATGTGTAGAAAAGTTTATTCCAGCCAGTTCTAGGAGTGTTCCAGGAAATAATCAGCCAAAATCAAATCTAAGAGCTATTAATCCACAAGTATCTACAAGTATGAATTGGCCGCATTACGTTGATCAGTCTCTTCTTTTGCAGCTTCAACCCCTTTTCATAAACACCTAATGTATGGGAACCCAAATCCTTTAAAATGGCAGCATTCATGCAATAATTCACCCCAAGTCACACTTGAAAAGAACACAAGACTGGAGCAAATTTGGGTTCCCGTTTGAGTACCATTTGGTATGCTTTGTGTATCTTCGTGTGAAACAAACGGATCAGCATTCTTCGTTCAAACTGCCCGGCAGGGTATGACGTGGTCGGATCTCCTTGCGGGCGGCGAAATTTGGTCGGCTCTGCCAGGTTGAGAGCTCCATTTGGAGCACAACACAAAAGGTAACTGGTTGGTGGTTTAGTTTCAACCCCTCTGAAAAATATGAGTTCGTCAGTTGGGATGATGACATTCCCAAAATATGGGAAAATAAAACATGTTCCAAACCACCAACCAGATAATATCTGGACAAAAACTTAGATCATCAACCTGAACAGTTCAGCCATTTATGGATGATTCTGCATTCCAGTTCTCATCATCAGCAAAAGGCCACGAATCATTTTTTCTTGGTGGTAGATGCTTTGTCTTTTTGAAGAGCCGTCCCTAAATAAGAAAGGGGAACACAACGTGGAACTGCTGAGTGGTTCTCCGTACATGTCAGCAACTATCACCTACAATGTGAGGCCCCTCAGTTATAAGTTGTTTTATAAGCCCAAAAAACTATAGTTATAAAATGTTATAAGTGCCATAAACCATAGTGAAATTGGAGTTGTGTTCACCAACTGAACGCTATCTTGACAGATTCGACATCTCTCCATGAATCTTGGACATCTCCTGTGCAGGTGGGATCGTCACAGGGGGTACAATTATGCTCTTCCTGACCAAAATTGCACCTGGCAGCGACGATAGAAACGATAGAAATGATAGAAATAGCCACAATCCTTAAGTGAAATAAACACAACTATGTTAATACATCATTCTGCTACTGCTACTATTACTCATGACTCATAACCAATCTTTTTGAAGTAACATAATATAATCATTTGAAACAAGACTGGTAAATATTTCACCAACAAACATATGGCCAAATATGGCAACTCATGTGGTAAACTCAATAAGAAACAATAATAAATTGCATGGAGAATAACGTTGATCATTCATGGCCTGAGATGCCCACATCGAAGATCAAAATCAAAACATGATGAAAGCACATTGCATAACAGATATTACATAAAATGGTGAAACGACTATGTTTTGTTGGTTTACCCAGTATTAAACTAAATAGCTGCTACATCACTTGCACATTCCCATCATCATTGACTCAGGAGAAGCCAGTCCCCTGCATCACTTGCCAACCACAGTTGGTTACACCGCTTTGAAAACAACCCATTTGCTGATCATGTTGGCAATTACCCGGCATTGTCACCATATACATGAATATATATATATATGTATATATATATATAAATTATTGCAATATGTTTATATCTGTTGAAATATATACGCTGCAATGCATATACAAAATGTATATCTATATGATATATTCATAAACAATTAGTACCACACACACACACACACATGTATATATATATATATTATGCATGTACATCTAGTGCTTTGTTGACTCCGCGCACACTATTGTAATTTTACTGTACACATGCATTCATGCACACGAATATCACACCTATGCGTGTCATATTATATATATATGGTTTAGAATGGGAAATCCATGGAAATCCTACTCAATGGATGATTTGGGGCTACTTCCATTTTCTTGTGCTTAGTAGGGAATGAGGGAATGATCCACAATAACTATCAATAATCATCCCCTTCCCCCATTCCCATCCATTCCCTACTAAGCACCAGTAAGCTTTAGAAAGACTCTATATCTATGTCTATCCGCCCCCAATTTACCGTTCGGTAATCAAATGTGGCTAGCTTGGAAACCCCCCCATTTGTGGATGATGTGCCCATCAAGTCCTGAATTTATATATACGGGATGTTCCCCAATTGTTGATGGTTGTAGATCCAAAATTGACATATCATGTTATCATGTCCGTATTAAATGCCGAGGTTCCATAAAAAGTCCGATTTCTGTGGCTTAAATCCCATATTTCCAATAAATCACCCAGTTATACCCATGTTATACCGCTATCTTCCCGGAAACTTCCTGAAAATCCATGAAAATCCCCCATTTTACCGCCAGGTGTGTCGGTTCAGTGACCACGGACGACGCACCTTGGCGCTTGGGCGCGTCGTCCAGGCCTGCACGGCGATGAGCCTCGGCCACAAAGGCCCGACGCACCGCCAGGCGGATGCAGAACTTGCGCACGATCTGCCCCAGCAATGGGCAGGTCCTAGGCCCGGGTTGAAACATGGGAAAAACATGGGAATATTTCCTGAAATTTAGGCCTGATATAGGCCTGAAAAAATGGATATATAATGAATTATAATGATATATATATATACAGTATATGGTAGGTAGCTCCAATTTAGGTTCCTGAAATGGCCATTGATAGATCTTAGGGGAACTTGTAGATCTGGGAACTTACTTGGAGGATCATTCTTAGGTGGATGTAACTCGTGAAAGTGACCACACTTCACAAAAAAAAACAAACATTTTTTTATGTCGGTGAACCACGGATTGGGTGGGAAAGAAACGGCAAAGCGTTGGGATTCAACATTATCTAACCAGCAACATCAATGGATAAGTGGCATTGCTCAGTAGCCAGGCCATCATATAAAAGAAGGTACCCCAATCAATTGCGACCCCAAACCAACCTCCAATCATTCATATAGGTATAACATGGCATCACTGCATGGATTCCAATGGGGCATACCACTTGAACACCAACCAATGGGCTGACTTATGGCCCAAGAAAGCATGGGAAAAACATCCTCACAATGAAGAGAGGTTGAAACATGTCTTTCAAGAGACATTTATGTCATTTCGGGGTGCATCCCAAATAGTAAGTGGATGTGAATAAGTGGGCAATAAGCATATTATACCAAAGTTACTGGGATACGCATTCAAGCAGAAGTGGGTATGGGAAGCATGACGACGAAGTCACGAACGATGGTCCAGGTGGAGTAACTCAGTGTTCTACAAGAAGTCATGCGGTGGACAAGAACAGGCTGTGGCATATCATACTATTCGTTTTCAGGTGTATATATATATGAATATATATATATATATGTGAATATATATATATATGTAATATTCAAGTATATGAATATATATATATATATTTATTTATACATATACATTTGAATACATATATATATATGAATATATATATATATATATTATAAAGGGATCATAATTTCTCCATCCATATCATATGATCGCCCTATTTTGGAGCGTGCTACCTGCCTATCTCAGGATGCCAGGCTCAAGAGATTGTCAAGTGCGAGATGTTACCACGATTTTTTATTCGGTATCATGAAATAAGAAATGAATAGAAATGACACCATTTCAAAACCTATCCGACCTATGGTATCGTCAATTTTTCTGGTATCAGAAAATTTCTGGTTGGTGGTATACCTACCCCTCTGAAAAATGTGAAAGTCAGTTGGGAGTATTATTCCAAGATAATATTACATTTCCCAACATACTATATTTAGTGATATTCCCCATATATGTTTGGTGGTTTTCCTTATATTGGGTAGTCAGTTTGGTGGTTTCCCAATATATTCCAAATGTTCCAAACCACCAAACAGATTTGGTATCATCATATGCATCCCAGAATCCCATCCGTTGTGCCAAGTATCTTCTGACGCCTCTGAATGACTTTCATGAAGACTTCCCGAGTCAAATAGAGGACTTCGAGATAAGTCCTGAAAAGCACAGGATCGAATCTAGGAAGCTGTAATCCAACCCCCCAAAAATATAGTGGTTTATAGTGGTTTATTGAGGGCAAACCTTATAATTGGGGAGACACCTTCGAGGATAGAGTGTTGAATCCCCATAGGCCTCCCCATGAGAGCAAAAACACTCTATACACTCAACCAGGCTCCTAATCATTTACCAAATGAACTTACCTATACCCGGAGCCTGCAGCAACAAGATGCAACAACCAGAAATTGTGTTTATTCTTCAATTATATATATATATATGGGATTGAAAATTCCATAACAAAGTTTTTGTTGGGGAAAGCTATCCATTTTTGTCCAAGGGTTTGGTGTTCCAGGTGCCAAATACAAGGTGGCGCCCCACCCCCAGTTATAGGTTGGCTTATAACCCCCGTTACCTCCTTTACCATACATCCGAGTTAATGTGGCAAACCCAATAATAAACCGCCCCATCAACCAGCTATTTGGGGATTGTTGTACATAATCCCAAACAGAGGTATATGATGGTATATCCAACAATAAACCATTAACTATTAGGATGGTTTTGTATAGATACCTATGATATCTATAGATATCTATAGATATATATATAATTAATAATTAATAATAATTAATAATAATAATAATAGAGGTATACCCAATAAGAATAAACCATAATTAGGGATGTGGCATTATGGGCTTTACCTATGTTTTGCTCAGTCACCGAGTTGCAAAGCACAGCCTTTGATGGGGCGAATCAGCTCCGTGTCGGAGAGGACGAAATCTTCGCCCCAGACCGCGCCGTTGGTTCCCACACGGCTGTTCAAGGCAACGATGCCTGGGCCATGTGAATTTGGACCTGGGGAAAGCTTTAGTATAGCCATATATAGCCAATGTATAGCCAATCTTTAGTGGAAAGAAAGTAGTTAGTATCCAACCAACTCATGGTGGTGTTGATTGGATGATAAATCTCTAGTATCTCTAGTGGCTATTCATCTCAGATCAGGAACCCCAGGAATCCCAGAATTGATGCCAGACTTTGGAAGTCAACTCTTTCATGTTAGGCTGCAGACCAATCGTTTGCTATGGGATTTTCCATTAAAGTCACCCTAAACCAAATCTGTTGATAGTTTGGATAATAAGCCAGATATGTGTTTGCCAAGCCCGATTGCATTTGTTTTGTCAAAGATGCGTGGAGAAATGTAGCAAAATGGAACCTTCATGAAATCACAATATTTGGTCGTGAAATTCGTTGCCAAAACATCAATTTTGGCTGGTGAAACTCCCCTGCTGCCGGTCGCAAGGATGATCAGAAGAATGATCCACTCCAAAAAGTCACTGGGCGTTGATAAGGCCAGAACTACCGATTACGGACCGCATTCCCTCTGGAAGAGGACCATAGTTGTTTGAGAGCGAGAGAGAGAGAGAGAGAGTATAGGTCAGTGATCGAACTGGCGATACGCATAATTTGACCGGAGGAAATTTTCAGAAACCATAATGCCCCGCCCCCCAAAAATATCATTGCTACTTCCATGTGGCTGAAATGGTCATTTTGCTGATCCCCTCTACTGGTTGGTTGATTGGTTGATTCTATACATTCTACCGGACGCAAACTGGCAGCGTCTAGCATATTGTCTCAGCAATCGACACCAACACTCTTCGCAATTTCAGAAGCTTCACCTTAATTTAAACATGTTCCAAGGGAGAGGGGGGTCAATACTTACTTATCTTACTTATATAATATATGTATATATACAATCATAAAGCACGTTAAAACAAAAAACACATATATATATATATTATATATATAATATATTTTTTTGGGAGATGTACATCCATAACTATACTACTTCCTTGTGGCTTCACTTGAGCCCCCCCCAACCCGGGGCCTTTCGACACGATGTACAGCACCTGCACGTTGTCGAAGCGTTCGCCCTGTGCGAAGGCGCCGCAGAGCAGGGCTTGGGAGACGTCTGCAATGCAGGCCCTGTGCGCGTCCACGTCTTCACCTGGGATTTTTGTTGGGATGTCATGGGGAGATTTGCTGAGAGAATATGATCTCTACATGATTTTTGGGGCCTGAAAGTAGGGTAAACAATGTAAACACTAAACACCCATCAATTTTAATATCAATTTATGGCATTTCAGTTAGGGAAATTGAAATGATGATCAATCATCACCCCCATAAGTTGGTGTAGAAATTAACCCTATGGCCATATAAAATCAGATATAAGTGGAACGGCACCACCAAGTAGCCAATAGCTGGGGCTGTTGGGCTGTTAATTAAGGGAAAACTGCAAGAAAGCGATGGTTTTTCCCCGTGATGTTGAAAATGATGGTCAACATGTTGACTTCGAACAATTCTGGGAAAAACCGGGTAAATGGCAAGAAATGGACTGTGCTAACCAAAACTGCCCTCAATTTTCCATGGGGAAAAGGATGGGCATTGGAGTTGGGGTATATCGGTGCAATCGGGGAAACCCAACTCATAAGTGGGGTAGACTTACAGATGGGCAAGTGGACTGATGTGAAAACTGAAACAGCTGAACATTTTCTGTAATCTTTATTTAGTTCCACATTAGCTCCGTTTATATAATTAATATTAACTACAGTAATTATAATTACAGTAATTATAATATTATAATCATATTCATGTATATCCCCTGGGGATTCCGAAACATTTTCCAAACATGCACCCAGTTCAAACTGGGAACGGGCTAAAAAGGACAGGTGAGTCTGGCATTCCCCTAAGCTACCAAAAAGGTTGGTCCATGGTACAGGACACGCTAGAGAAACAACAACGTATGTGTACAAATGATTAGAAATGTTCTCAAATGTATTTGCAACTTGCAATTACGATTTCTGCGCAAAAGGCACTTCGATGGCAATTACACGTAATTACTACAAAACGACTGCAAAATGCTGCATATGGACACCAGGGCCTAGATTCCTGCCAAGCGACCATTGGTCTCAGATGCTTCTACAATGCCTCGTTGATGTGGAAAGTCTGCATATGTATGGGTTTTTTCGGACCTATTTCTCTTCTTCACTGGGTATTGCGAGAACATCTACAGGGCACGACATTACCACTACCATCAGATGGTTGGAATCCCTTGCCACCAGGGCCCCGGTAGACAGCTGATGGATACACATCATGTTTTGTCCCGACGGACAATTGGTTCCAAACAACATGCCAATCGCTAACCAATTTACTTCGGTGAAAAAACAAAAAACTTTAAAAAAATAACTAATTACTGAACTAACTGTTGCAGAAAACATCCACATGGTCGAGCACTCTTCACCCAAGATGCTCATGAAGGTACTGAAAAAGGAGACTTTCTGGATCCATGGCGCATTCCTGGGCGGCTTGGTTTGATCTCCATCGATTGGGCGTCTGTCCAATTGCCAGCTTTGTTTTCCAAAGGAACGGCAAACATGTCCCATAATTCACGGCACCATCCCCACAAATAAAAAACATCATTGGTAGGAAATTGCCATTAAAAAAAAAAACACACATTCCCTTCAGATCTTTGTAATAGGATCTCTAAATGTTTTTCTGGTCCAACATCCCGGACACATACCCAAACACATGTGCCTGAAAACAGTTTTTCTCGTTCAACGCAACATGTCAATGTTGTGATTTGTAAAATAAATAAAAAAAACATAAATATAATCACATAATATCATATATATATATATGCATATTATACACTAATTTGCCAACAATGTTGTTCCAAATGCAGGCATCGACAATACATATGCATTTCCTTCCCTGTGATACTGTCACACTTCAGGCATGGAAAAAAAAACATGAGCAGCGTTCAAAAACGTCTATCATTCCATTGCGTTGGTTGGTTCATAGGCCAATGGAGTCTCAGTATGGACTTGATCATCCCCAATTCATTGCGTGCAAGTGGTGTAGGACAACCCCCGAACTTATCATCAACCCACATGCCTTTTGCCGCCACTGTTCAGTGCAGCATGAGAGAACCCAGGCAAGGTCATAGTGCAGTAGCAAAGTGGAGGCACTGCAATATCCAATGAATATGCGCAGGGCAGAGATATGGCTGTGTCATGTTGCGGCTTTAAAAAATATCCCGGCAAGAAACCCCAAACAGTGTGGGAAGAGTGGGAAGATAATGTATGATAATGTGGTTGATGATGATGATGATGATGATGGTGATGACGATGAAAAGGATGATGATGAGGACGAGGATGATTAGGATAATCGGATAAGGAGGAAAATGTTGCGGACGATGATGTTGAGGATGATGTTGCGGAAGATGAGGTGGAGGAGGATGATGTTGCGGAAGAGGAGGTGGAGGATGAGGATGAGGATGCGAATGCGGAAGATGAAGTTGAGGATGAAAAGGTGGAGGAATGGCGGAAAGGACCTAAAAGCATCAGTGGCTGCAAGCTAGCAGGACAAGAGCGACCCTAGTAGTGAAAAGAAGAGATACGAGGTAACATTCCGCAAGGTCCCGTTGTGAAGATCTCTGGAGAAGCTCGTGCGCAAGATCTCCTTGGCGGGTTCTGTGTAGAAGCTGCTGTGCAAGATCCCTGTGTAAGGCTATCTGTACAAGGTGTCTATACAAGAACTCCACCGAAGATCTTTGCAAGGGATCTCAAAGAGTAAGACCTCTGTTCAAGCTATCTATACATGATCTCCAAGCAAGACCGCTGCTCTCTTCACCAGCTCTTGGTACAAGATCTCAATAAGAGGTGTCCTGGCAAGATCTCTGAACAAAATCTCTATAAGAGCTCTGTTGGCAAGATCTCTGTAAGAGACCTCATGGCAAGATCTCTGCACACGATCTCTAGAAGAGGTCTCTTGGCAAGACCTCCTGGACAAAATCTCTAAAAGTCTATAAGAATTCTCTTGGCAAGATCTCTTTATGAGATCTCTCTGCAACGGATCTCTATGCAATGTCTCTGTACAAGGTCTCCATAAGAGGTGTCCTGGCAAGATCTCCGCACAAGATCTCTAAAAGAGGTCTCTTGGCAAGATCTCTTTATGAGATCTCTCTGTACAAGGTCTCCATAAGAGGTGTCCTGGCAAGATCTCCGCACAAGATCTCTAAAAGAGGTCTCTTGGCAAGATGTCTTTATGAGATCATTCTGCAACAGATCTCTATGCAATGTCTCTGCACAAGGTCTCCATAAGAGGTGTCCTGGCAAGATCTCCGCACAAGATCTCTAAAAGAGGTCTCTTGGCAAGATCTCTTTATGAGATCTCTCTGCAACAGATCTCTATGCAATGTCTCTGTACAAGGTCTCCATAAGAGGTGTCCTGGCAAGATCTCCGCACAAGATCTCTAAAAGAGGTCTCTTGGCAAGATGTCTTTGTGAGATCTCTCTGCAACAGATCTCTATGCAATGTCTCTGTAAAAGGTCTCCATAAGAGGTGTCCTGGCAAGATCTCCGCATAAGATCTCTAAAAGAAGTCTCTTGGCAAGATCTCTTTCTGAGATCTCTCTGCAACAGATCTCTATGCAATGTCTCTGTACAAGGTCCCCAAAAGAGGTGTCCTGGCAAGATCTCCGCACAAGTTCTCTAAAAGAGGTCTCTTGGCAAGATCTCTTTATGAGATCTCTCTGCAACAGATCTCTATGCAATGTCTCTGTACAAGGTCTCCATAAGAGGTGTCCTGGCAAGATCTCCGCACAAGACCTCTAAAAGAGTTCTCTTGGCAAGATCTCTTTATGAGATCTCTCTGCAACAGATCTCTATGCAATGTCTCTGTACAAGGTCTCCATAAGAGGTGTCCTGGCAAGATCTCCGCACAAGATCTCTAAAAGAGGTCTCTTGGCAAGATCTCTTTATGAGATCTCTCTGCAACAGATCTCTATGCAATGTCTCTGTACAAGGTCTCCATAAGAGGTGTCCTGGCAAGATCTCCGCACAAGATCTCTAAAAGAGGTCTCTTGGCAAGATCTCTTTATGAGATCTCTCTGTGCAATGTCTCTGTACAAGGTCTCCATAAGAGGTGTCCTGGCAAGATCTCCGCACAAGATCTCTAAAAGAGGTCTCTTGGCAAGATCTCTTTTGTCTCAACAGATCTCTTGCAATGTCTCTCAAGGTAAGAGGTGTCCTGGCAAGATCTCCGCACAAGATCTCTAAAAGAGGTCTCTTGGCAAGATCTCTTTATGAGATCTCTCTGCAACAGATCTCTATGCAATGTCTCTGTACAAGGTCTCCATAAGAGGTGTCCTGGCAAGATCTCCGCACAAGATCTCTAAAAGAGGTCTCTTGGCAAGATCTCTTTATGAGATCTCTTGGCAAGATCTCTTTGCAATGTCTCTGTACAAGGTCTCCATAAGAGGTGTCCTGGCAAGATCTCCGCACAAGATCTCTAAAAGAGGTCTCTTGGCAAGATCTCTTTATGAGATCTCTTGGCAAGATCTCTTTATGAGATCTCTCTGCAACAGATCTTTATGCAATGTCTCTGTACAAGGTCTCCATAAGAGGTGTCCTGGTAAGATCTCCGCACAAGATCTCTAAAAGAGGTCTCTTGGCAAGATCTCTTTATGAGATCTCTCTGCAACGGATCTCCATGCAATGTCTCTGTACAAGGTCTCCATAAGAGGTGTCCTGGCAAGATCTCCGCACAAGATCTCTAAAAGAGGTCTCCTGGCAAGATCTCTGTACAAAATCTCTACAGCCCAGAACCTAGGACCACACTTTGTGCGAGCCTGCGCAGTCGAAATACACTTCAACATTTCACAAGAGCCACTTTAACTTTATACTGAAATTAAGCACCGGATCAAGCACCGGCCTTTACTCCTACCGTAGGAACCCCTCAGTGTGGACGGACTGTTTGGGGAACGATTGAAATGGGATCAGCAGGAAATTCTTTTCAAGCAAACCCAGAATATCCGCAGTGCTCCATGTATGGAATGTTTACCAACATTTCAAACATCTCTCCAAAAATTGACCCCAATGTAGGTAAATATTCCATACATGGACATGGAGCATATGGGTATGCCAAACTGGGATTTTGCATTATTTTTCCACCGCAGTTAGAGCTCTTCAATCCCATCAATTCAGCCAAGGCGCACAGCGATGCAAATCTCTGATTGCAACTGCGGACTCATGCACTCACGGAGCTTTTGCCGTGTGACGTAGAGGGCCTCGGGATGGAAATCAACCATGGAACGGCAACATTCAGAAATCGACTTGAGAAATCCCGAACATGGGGGCTTCTGAACGGGGGATTTCAACATCCAGAATGTTCATGAATTTTCTATATACATTAATGATCTGCATGAATGAAATGAAATCATCCCCTGCGGCCCTGCATATCCATATGTGCCACAGTCCAATCATGCTGTACATCGTCTAAGTCAGCTTCGTTCATCCCGTCAACGACGGGGCACCTGGTAGCGGTTCTGCAAAAAGAAGCTGCGCATACGGCAGCGCAATGCATAAGGCAAGTTCTGCTCCTGCAGGGATGGAAGGTCCATCTGCAGCCATTCCCCGGGATTGTCTGAGAATTAAGGGGGAAAACTGGAAAACCACCAAAATCCAGTTGTTCATCATCTTTTTCCACATTCAAAAAAATTGGGTTATCCCATGGTATCCTCTAACAAAGCCATATGCTCCCTGGTGCTGGAATGGTTGATTCATGTTGATTCTATATCAACATATTCGCCCAAAAATTGCCAAGGCGTGTAGGCAAACAATTGCTGAACAATTGGTATATACCATGCAGGCCATGCAGGGAGCATATAGGATTGGTATTGCGCCTATGTTCCCAAGCGTTCGTTCCCAAGAACCATGAGCTTTCCACCCGGAAAACTCGTGGATCTCGAGGGATCCGTTTTGGCAAATCCATAGCAGTTCCAACCCCAAGGAGACGACCGGCATCACCAAACAGCCCCATCAGTGATCATAGAATGAAGTACTAAGCACATCCATTCCGAGCATGTCATAAATACATATAAATACCCATTGGGGGAACTACCACTTTCCACCATCAGAGTGTGAGGGCCCAGTAAATCATTTGGACTTTTGGTCAGTCAACATCTTGGACACCAACAATACTTTTTTTGGCCGGGGCTTCTCAGAGGATTTGCCCCAACAGCCAGCCCAGCACGTCCGCCAACAATACTGCTGATTAATAAAACATCTTATTTGGATCAAAATGGGTCGACTATTTTCCGGTGATAAAACCTCGCAATGGAAATCTATCCATTTCTGCAATGACCTACCTCGTGAAACCGCTGACTCTCCGTCTGTCATGTCTGCCGGAGAGTACTTGTGATTTCCTCTCATATTCCTCTGCTTGTATAACCCGTTGTATGCTCAAAAGGGGTGTCAAACAAATCAATGAACAATCACAAAACAAAATAACATTATCAATCTCAAGGAACAGTACTGATTCTGAACAGTAACAGTGTTCATAAATGAAGGCAACAAAAATATCAACACAATCGAAACAATCATTACGGTTTCCATTCTAACAGCAAACCTCACAAAATGCCATCCACTCCTTCATCATGCGGTTTAGCTCCGTCATCTTCTTTCTAAAGTGCCTCCAGAACTGGTTCGTTGGTGCCGGATTGCCCTATCGGCTACAACGACCCCAGTAAGGGTTTTTAGCAACCCTTTAGATGCAGGAAAGGCCCTTGTGAAGAGACGTCTATTGCATTGGTAAACAATTTCTTGGGGACCACCGTATTTATTCACATCTGGCCCCCAATACTCCAGTTTGACTTTACTATCGAAAAGGAAAGGCATATTTTTTCAACAAAGAGAAAGAGGCCATTGGTTTCTGATGGTTTCGGTATGACCCCAAGCATTGCCAAGCTGCTGAGTTTCTGCGTTCATGTCCTGGACTGGTTTGGCCAACCCATGGGAGCAAACATTGCATTTTCTCGATCATCATCACCGGTAGGGATGAACGTGACAGGTCAGATTTGGAACCGATAAAGTGGTTTGAAGCTCCGTGTTTTGCCATGCTTTGACATCTGTCAAACCAAGTCATGTATCTTCTAAAGCTCTGAGTAGCTCTGAGTACACGTGCGATGGCCAGCCGGCAGCGTATTAGATCCTACTATATATATATATAGGATTGAGGTAGGATTACCTTGAATGGATTTTGACAATAGCTCGACCTGGACCTGGACATACATACTCTACAAGTAGATAAAATCTCCAGATTATCTTGTACATATAGCATCTCTATGTGCACAAGAACCAGGCTGTAAATGAACATGACATTCTGATTACTGGGCCCTTAAGACCCATACTTCCACCCAACCCCCGGTCACCATGTCAGAAATGTCAGCAGGTTGTTGCGTCGCTGACTTTCGTCCAAGTTTCACTCACGATGGCGCAGACTTCGCCAAGAACATAGGCCCAACACAATCCCGCGGTCAAAACAATCAAGGTGCAAGCGACCCGTTCCAAAATGTTCCTCGGCCGCTGGAGATAGGTCTGCCTACGTGGGTTTCCACTTTCAGAGCTCTGACTCTCATGGTAGATGTTGGTAGGCTGAGTTTGTTGGAAATTGCACACAGAGCAAATGACTACCTGTTCCAAATGGATCAAATGGATCAAATGGACAAGCTATCTCCGATACCAAAGGATATCTTTACGGTAGTTTTTCATGAGGTGAAAAGCCAGAAGACACTCCTAAGTCCTGGATTTTGAGGTCTCATGCCCCATAGATCTCCAACATGCAACCACCAGCACCAAAGTCGACACTTTGTAAGTTGAGATCTGCCCTCAATCCATGAGTCATCATGAGTCCATGGAAGCCTGTGAAGTGGATTCTCATGGAGGATCAAGGGTTTATAATCTTTGGCAGCATTTGGTCACCGCACTGTCACAATAAAGACTCTAAAAACGACCACTTCACCAGTGACTTGTAGCCAGCATTCACTCTTTCCGAAACCTTCCTGGAATTTCCTTCGCCAGGACAACCGGAATTTCTCCAAACACGGTACCCTCTGGTAAACTAATATAACTATGGAAAATCACAATTTTTGTGGGAAAATCATGGAACATCCACTATTTCGACTGGGCCATTTTCTATGTCGCTTTTTCTATGTTGACCAGGCCGGGTCTGCTCCATCGATCCAAGGCATCCAAGGTGCTTTGGCCCTATATCTCCATATCCCACTGAGGTCATGGTATAGGTACAAAAGTACAACGAGCTGACGTAGGTGCGAAGAGGTGACCTGGGATGTCACGGAGGAAATCCTCATGGAAGATTTTTTGGGTGAAACATGGGGAGGACTTCAAGGAAACCCTGTTGCGAATTTGAAAACTTGGGCTTCCTGATGTTTGTCCCTTCATCCTTCATCCAAGTGTGGGAATCCCAATTTGCCAATAACATCCAATAACTAACGCTTCCAGTATCTGGAAAGCGGCATCCGAACTTAAAACCTCGAGTCTCCGCACTAAGACACTAAGAGTACCGAAAGGTACTGCTGATGAATATTCTGAGAACTTTCCCAACTAAGCTCGCTATGGCTCGTTTCCAAACTTAAAGCATCAACTCATAGACTCATAGCTTTCTAATTTCGGAATTGCCTTCAACAATTGAACTAGCAGTGGTACGTAAAAGCTCTAAAAAACCCAACATGTTTTGCTTTAAAAGCGCTACAGATTCAGCAGCTGTTCACCAAGGAGATTGGCAGTGTACATCTGGTACATCCAATCAAGAACCATATCTAATTGAAATCATGTGCTCTTTGGGACCTTTGGGAGCTTTAAACATGGAATTCCTGGCCTTTAAAAAGGGACCTTTCTTTGGCTTTCCGCCATCTTCACCGTGAGCCTACGGGTGGCCCCAAGGGGGCAAGCGACTCAACCGTTTTGATGTTCCAGGCATTGTCGATCTCCTGGATATCATCGATCCATCGAGGCTTGTCCGCCTCTGCGAGTTGCAAAGTCATGGCCCAAATACAGGCCAACCTGGCAGGAGGCTTTGCCCCAACAGTCCAGCATGTGAAAACCAAAGGGCAAAAGCTGCAAAGGTTGCATGATGTTTCAAAAACAATAAGATACAATAAGGATTAATAAGGATGTAGACCATAAGTGTGTGTTCTTTTGCAATTTTATTGGTCAAAGTGAGGGTCAAGGTATGTTCATTGAGCATTTTTGTAGGTTACGTCAAGAATTTCAATATGTTTTAAACAATTTGAAACAACACTTGACAACAGGCTCAGGAAGGCAACTTCAAATTCCATAAACAAATGGAGGCAACGAGAAAGATAGTTGTGTACCTGGGCAACCTACCACTTGATTCCAAGCGATAGTGTCAGTTGCACAGAAGTGTCCATGAGCCTCACCAATGAGAAAATCAGTACCTGAAACGCCCACGTAGATTTAGGAAACAATGACAACCCGACATAAGCAAGCCAAAGCAACCAATGGCACACTAGAAGCAAAATGCAGAGGAATCCTGAGTCCGGGCCAAGAGTTTTTCGGGCTGGGCGGGGAATTTTTCGGGGCATCCTTGAAACAGTGAATCGGCCACTACTCCTGCTACATCGGATGACCGGACAGCCTTCAAATCCTTGAAAGTATATGAAAGGATCCTTACAAATCCGCATTGCCTTTGGATGTCCAAAACTCAAAATTGATTACGGCTGTCTCGACTGCAGCTGTGTGATATCAGCCAGCCAGTAAGTGGTAGAATTAATTGGCGCTGCCACCCCATCAAAACCATGATATTCACTTGGAATAGTCATGGATCTGGATTCATTTTTTCAGAGACCAAACGCATCAAACAACCCCCAACTAGCGCCACATGATTCTGGAATCTGCTATTTTCCGGGAACTCCAGATTCAATCGACTCCTGGACCGGCCTAAAAAATTGGACTTTAACGGGACCGTCCATTTTTTTTGGGCTTTAACGAAAATCCACCCACTCTTTAACGCTTCGAGTGGCGGAAGAGGGCGAACTGCTGATAGGGAAGGGAGATGGTAATCTCCACTCGGTGGAGCCATCGGGAAGTCTTCAAAATTCGCATGAGCTTCAGGAGCCTAAAAAAGTCAGAAGTGACGCTGAAGAAAATGATGGATGCCTCTTGGCTAAGAATATATATATATATACACATATGCTTATATATATATATGTGTGTTTATATATATATGTATATTATATGTATCATAGAGCTAGATCAAGAATATTTAAGAACTGAGAACGTATATATATATATATATATATATGTATGTTTAACCAACGTACAATGTATGTACATATTGATATGTATGTACAAGTTATAAGTGTGTATGTATATATATACACATATAAATAGAGATACTGTATGATTTATATAATCTATGTTTATGGGTGGGTAACCCATTCAATTCATAGTCGTAGTTGGGTGTTTTATAATTGGTTTTATACAAGGTGGTGCTCCCCGCCTTATGAGTTGGTTTATAATACCCATGAACTATCAACACACCTACCATAAACATCCATAAACCCTAGTTGTTGGAGTTATAGAACAACTTAGCTAAATATGTGGCACTATCTTGTATGCATTTGTACGTGACAGGACCCTACAAGTATCAGGGTGGGGGTTGGCTCTTTGACATGCAGCTTACGGTGGCTTAGATGTGTTCAACTAGTGGACATGGAACATGACATATATATACATGACATGCCGTGTTTGACCTCTGGTCATCTGCCACAGAGCGACATCCAACCTTTTACAGTTTCAAGATTTGTCAAGTCTACCTGGCCCAAAATGCAGTCTTCATCTTCCAATCCCCAGCTCTGAAACTCGTGGAATCCTTCTAGAATTCGCTACAACATTTCATTTGTCCACCAAAAATCACTCTCTTTCCCCAATTATGAATCGGTGATCACAAAAACTCTGAAACCACCTGGGTTTCAAACAAAACCATACTGTATCCAATGAAAAACTTTCCCATGGCTTTCCACTGTCTTGGAAGATCATTCCCATGACAAGCCGAAAAAAAAATCCACAGCTCGCAGCTTCGCCTCAAGGTCCTGAAGATTTTGGTGGCTTTAAAATCACCCACCTGCGATTCGCAACTGGTGGATACCCGAACAGGTCATTTGTGACATAGCGACAGAGAAAATGCCCATAGAAATAGTTAACATTTACCATTCTGAATACCCATTACACATGGTGATTTTCCATAGTTATGTTAGTTTACCAGTGGGTAATGATGGGTAATGCAACTGCTAGAACACCAGCTTTGGAGAGACGCTGAAAATCGCTGAAAACGAAGTCCAAATCCCGCATATCACTGAACAACGATATTAAGGCTTCAACAATCTGAGCAAAAATCCCGAAAAATGTGGGTTGGCCCAAAGAACATGTTTCTTTCGGATAAATTTTGGGGCTGTGCCATGTGCCAACCCTCCCCAGCCCAGGGCGCACCGCTACTTCTTGTGCGTTCAAGGCCAGCTCAATGATGTCGAAGGGGATCAAAGTGATGGCATCAAGGGCAAACCAGGTCTTAACCTTGCCATGACGCTGGGAAATCCAACACATGTTGCATAACAAATTGATCACGCTCCCCTGCTCATGCATATATAGATACGTATATTGATCTATTGATGTGTAAACAAATCTATGCATATATGCATATATATATATATGTACACATACAATATACACACACATATATATATATATACATACGTATATTCATGTATTTGTGTAAACGCTGTATATAATTATCATATACATGTATATACATGTATCATACGTAGCAATGGAAAGTCAATGGAAAATCCCCATATGGATGTGTTTGCAATACAACCTCCGTTTTTAGGAGATTTTCCGGGAGGGTAAGTCCCAAATTTTGATTGTTCATATACCAACAATACGATCAAATCTGGGTGCCTTTTGGCAACCCCCATGTCTGAGCCCTACCCTTCCAAGTCGAATTCCGGCTCTCCCTAAACACCTGATGGAGTAAACATCAATCTTGGAATGGATTGAAAGCGTGTTATTTATCGATTAAGAACAAGATATATCCGCCACGTTTGCTAGGGAAGCATCAAGGATACCAAGGGAACGTAAACACACGTAAACTTAGCCATACAAAGGTTGAAGTCAACATGGGACATCATGGGACAACATCCAGTTCTCATCCGATCCACTTTTCAAGCGTTCAAATGGAATTTCTCATTACCAGGGTGCATGTTGATTGGCCGAGTATGTAACACATGACAGCGATAGCACGCACACAGATTTATATACACATTAATATAATCATGCACATGTACACGTGCATAACACATATGTATGTATATATATATAATTGTATATATAACTATGCATATATTTTGGCTCAATAGTATACATGATCACATATCTATGTTCATTGATCTCAGCTATATACAGCTGTGGATATTTTCCCGTGCCAGGTCACGTAGTGTCGCGTGATCTTTGAAACCTGCTGTCAAGGGCATGGCCGGGCACGTTGACCCGGTTTATCATGTATTATTATTGTTTTAATTATATGGATTTATATGGGTACAAGTGGTACAAGTGTCAGGGTTAAACCGAGAGCATAGAGAAACAACATGAAATAACTATAGAATTCTGGTCATGCTGTAGGTAGTGAGAAAATCACAAGCAGCAACCACGGTAACATGTTAGAACTCACTTGCAGTGAGTTCATGTCATTGGGCGATGACCAATGACCTATAGAGAAGGATCGTGGAGATCAGGGCCATGGATCACCGGTCCAGGGCTTACTGGGCTTACTGGAAAATCAACCAAATTGAGCCCATCGCGACTGCTATGTATTGGAAAAACATCGCACCAAACAGATAGTTTCGGGATGTTTCAGGATTAAGCAATGAATTCATAGCATGCATGTGAATCATGTGGTAGCTGGTTCTTTTCTGTAGGTTCTGAAGCTGCAGCCTTACAACCACCGAACTTTATTCCGGCATCAAATTCAAACAAGCGACCCATACGGTCTAACTTATGAATATCTAGTTTCCTTCAATCCAGCTACGCAGCCCCAAACATCCCCAAACTACTAACTTTCACTTTGAAAAATATGGCCGTGGACACTTCAAGCTGATTGGCTAATCTGGTTAACCCAATAAGAACTCATCCAACCAAGCAGTTGGGGGCTATTGCACTGTCATCCCGAATAGTTTTTTCCCAATAATAAACGCCAGTTGGGGATGGTTTGGGTTTACTATAATCACGAACCTGCATTATTCCCAATAATAAACACAATATCCGCATTAGATGAATCTATCAATGACCTTCATGTTCTGGGACGGGTCGCTTTGCGCCTTCTGCTCCCAAACCACACCACTCTGGGTGGGCCGTGGGTACATGGTGATGAACTGCAGAACGACGTCGATCAAGAAAATGCCATCCACAATTGTGCTCAGCATCAGCCTGGGCCAAACCACTGGCTCTGAGATCATCAAGGGTCGGCTTCATATCTTCACCCAAACGATCCCATTCACGGCAACCCGCAACCAAGATAGGCATCTGTCAAGCAATATTTTATCCCAAAAACTGCATGGAGAAAACGGTGGAAATGAAATCGGACTTTAATCTGACCATAACGCTTGCACGACGCGTTAGGTCTTCAAATGCAAATGTGCAACATGGCTGAAAGTGCAAAGGACGCTGCCTTTTTCGCAAAGAATCTAAGCTCGAGTGGCCACTGCAGATCGGACGGCCAACTGATGGCACCTGAAACCCTTAGCAAGCAGGAATGTCATGTCATGCGCTGAAGATGCTGTGGTGATTTCACACTGGGATTACTTTGTTGCTTGACATTCCTGTCGCATTCGTGCAGTTGAATCCAAGGCCTTTGCAGCCACTGGTAAAAGGTTGCCATCAAAGTCATGCTAACCTTTGTCAAACCATCGGCAAATTGGAGGGCCGTTGGGATCCAAAACACATTGTCTCTGGACAAAAACTGTTGGGCTGACCTAATGGTGACTATTGTGCGTTTATCCTCTGTTCGAGGATTTTCACTGACCAAAACGTCATACAGCGAACGGCAGTCTGTTGCCTGAACCATTCGGAGTAAATCACAACTGGCAATGTGAAACGCCGGCCGGTTCAGTAAGAGCTCGCTCAGCATATAGTTCACCAAGCTTGAGCGGTCGACGCTCATGTCAGCTGCCGAAGCTTCCGCTGCCAGCGTTGATCTGCACACTCTTGTTGAACGTGATGATTTCCAGTCTACCAAAAGTCCTGCTTCAATCACGTCTGTCGCCTTCGGGCTCGCCAGCATGATCAGTGCACCATGTTGGCTTGCAAAGCCGACTGAGTTCGCCCAGCTTGAGTCTGCATAGCTAACTACCATGGTGGAGTAATCGATGGGCACAGGTCGCAGGATCAAGCCGTCGGTCTTGGTCTGGTGCAAATGTTCCACGGCCATGTACATGTTGTGCAAATCCTCATAGGTCGACTTGGCACCCCTGCTGCACAAGCTAACGATGGCAGCAACATCTGGTCGAGTCTGACCGGCCAACCATTGCAAGCACCCAGAAACGCTACGGAACTCTCCCAGGTCGGCGGTGCTCAGGGTTTCTTTAAACATCTTTTTAGAAACAGTTCCGCCTTTCATCTCAGATATGAACTTCTCCTGGTCGAGCTTGAGCTGATACTCGTTGGAGGAGCTGTCATACTTCAAGGAGATCTTCTTGCCCTTGAAGTCTAAGTGGCTCTCCAGCGAAAGCTCATTCTGGCTGCCCCACTTGAACTGGCTGAGCAAGTGGCTTCTGTCATAGCGGGTGTCATGTGCCATGAGAAAGTCATCGACATAGACGACCACAACGGCGCATAGTGTTGGTTGGCTCTCGCCGTCAAACTTCTGGTAATAGTAGAAGAGCATCTTGTCAAGACTGGATTGCTGGTATCCAATCCTCTTGAGGATCTTGACGACGTGAAGTTGCCATGTCCTCGGTGCTGAGGCCAATCCATAAATATTTCCCACCACCTCCAAAAGCGTGGCGTTCTCAAAGATCTTCGCCTGTTTGCAAACGCCATCTGTCGGTGGTAAGAGAAACAAGGGCATGCTACGCTGTTCTGGTTCGCCCTGAAGGAAGGCTGTCTTCACATCGCCTGCCCACAAAGTCCAGCATGCTATCGGATTGCCCATCATCTTGCCGTTTCTGCCAGCGATGAAGATTGCAAAAACCAAAAATTCAGACTGTCTTGTGGGTGTGGCGCTCTCCCTCTGCAGCGTCCATAGGTCTGGATCTGTGCACCCCACAGCAACAATTCGGCATTTTGGTTTCAAAGGTCCAACTCCTCTTGACTTGTCTCTGAAAGCTGCGCGCGATCTCAAAACGCGCTTGCGCATCACCTTGTCGTTGAGGATGCGGCGTGCTTCTTCTCGAGGGACAGGTCTCACAGAGTTGAACTGCATCCATGAAACTTCTTCGGCTTTGGCAGCATCGACATAGGCCTGGATGGTCTTGTCGTCCATGTTGAGAATGGTCTGCCAAGGTATCTCTTTGTCCAAAGCTTTCTTCTCCTGCCAAGTCAAGGTAGGTGGAATGGCATCTTGCGGTCCACGGAGATCCTCAAACTCGGCATCTGATTCATCACTGTCGCCATTGCCAGTATAGTTGGTGTCCTTGCGGTAAGCTGCCATGAAGGTCTTGCTGGCATATGGCATATGGACCTCAGGAGATCCATCAAATCCATCAGTCATGCGTGTGATGCCGTCGACATCGTTGATGTCAAAGTCAATGCAGTGGTCTTTTGCAAATGAATTCGAAACCCTCTCATCTTGAGTGGATTGTAAAATTGAAACATCAAAAGGCCCCTCGGCTGCAGCTTCTTGAAAGGTTCTTTTGGCTGGTGTCAACTTCAAGGCTTCCGGTGTTGATGGAGCCTGTTGACCAATCTCATCTGCTGCAGCTAAGCTTGAAGGCACGGCTTGTTGTGAAGCCTGTTGATCTGCTGCATCATCATCATCATCTGCAACCTCAATGACTTCTGTCTGAGGCATTTCAGGCAAAGGTGGTGTTGCGGCACCCGCTGGATTGGGCAAGGCCAATGCAGAAGGTGAACCGCTCAGCTGTTGCACTGAAGAAGGTCCTGGTTGTTGCTCTGAAAGAGGTTCAGCATGTGACTGTCGCACTGAAGTTTGTTCACCTTGCGACTGTCGTGGTGTCGCAGGTAGAGGTGTTCCACTTGTCAAAGCTGGGTCACGTAGTTGCCTGGCTGGCGTCTTTGACCTCGACCTGTGTGGTTTGCGCACAGGGATATTGACTCGTGGTTGAGCTTGTTGTGCTTCAGTCATGCCAAAGGACTGTTTCTGGATGATGGTTTGGCGATATGTTGGTGATGACATATTCATGTTGATTGTAGTTTGTTGGTATGGATCTGTTTGTGTAGCTTCTTCAGTTAATTGTTGTTGAGGTAATTGTGGTACTGAAACAGGTCTTGGCGTGGAAGGCACTGGAATAAGCTCGACCCCAGGTGCTTCAGGTTCGTCATCTCCTACACCAAGTGGTGGTGGCACTTGTACTTGAGGTTGAACTTCATCAAAGCCAGGTAGCTCTTGTCCTTCAGGTGGCTGTGGAAGTTGTTCATCTTGAAAAACTCCATGCTGAAGGTTGTCAGCGGCTGTCCTAAGAGCTTTGATGTCCTGATATGAAGGATTCCAGTGCTCAAATCCAAGTGCTGGTCGTACTTGATGAGGTGACACCTTCACGGTGTTTGTGCCTGCTTGCAACCACATGCTTTTGTTGTCGGGATCACGGCCCAAAACGCGAGCCAACTTGAATCCTCCTCGCTTCTTGCCTGACTTGGCTGTCCATCGCCAGTAGGCAGCAATGGAGCCCACTGGTAGTTCTTGAGGATCATTTGGAGTTGACTTGCGCAGCAAGGCACGTCGAAGGTTGCTATCCACACTCATAGCTGACAAATGCTGCTGTGCTTCGGCACGCAAGTAGTCAGCTTCTCGTTGGGCTTGTTCTCGGGTTCTTCCAGCAATCAAACCATGCTTGTCTGAGAGGAGATTCATGCCCATTCTAGGCACCCTTCCGAAAGCCGCAACAAAAGGTGGTCTGCCAGAAGACCATGTGCATGAGTTCTTTGCAAAGCAAGCGGCAACTGCAGCTAGCTCCATGGCTTCTGGTCCAACGACTGCTCTGCTGTCGATGGTGCGTTCCATCAATTCTCGCAGTGTTGAATTGTGTCGCTCTATTAGGCCTATCCTGGAGTGGTTCTCAGCCGGCACATAGTCCAAAAAGGTTCCAGCTTGGTCCATGGATTCCTCGAAGAAGCCTCGAAAACTCCCATCAGGGTCAGCTTTGATTTTGAGTGGATAGCCAAACGATCTTGCCCAATGTGTTGTGAACTTGAAGGTTACCTCCTCTGGGCTACGGTCAGACAAAAGCAATGCCATATGAAGGTGAGTGCATTCATCTATGATGCCCAGGAAGATGTGGTTGGTGGACGTTATGTCCCTGACATAGACGAGGTCCATCTGCACAACGTCACCAAATTGCAAGCTAACATCTTGAGGGATACCTGCAGGTTCTGGTCTACCAGGTCCTTTCACACGCAGGCAAGATTCACATGTGAGGCTTTCAATGGCGTCATAGATCTTCTGATCCTTGATGCCGTTCATCGCAAGCATCTTCTTCAACTCGTTGGCATGAGGGTGGCCTAGGTTGCGGTGTAGCCGCGACAAGGCCGTCTTGATGTCTTGCGACAAGCCAGGCATCTTTGGAAAGGAGATCCCAGTTGTGTTGCTAGCCACAATGACTTGTGGATCGTCTTCGACTGGTTCTCGCGGTGGATGTTGCATCTCAGGTTGTGCTGACTCAGGTTTTCTGTCGGCTGCCGCATAGCCAAAGAAAAACACGCCAATGTTCACTGGTTTCCTGAACTTGGCACGTGGATGTCTGATGTCTGCCAGGTCCTCTTCAACAACCTCCACGGTCTGATCGTTGTAGAGAAGGGCCCACCCACGATGTGTGTGGGGGATGTGCAGTGGCAAGCGCAGCATCGTAGGTTGAAAGGCAATCTGCACTCGTTCAAGTCGATGCCATTGCACAAGTTGTTGAACCATCCTCCAAGTGACATCTGAGGTTGGCAACACGTAGCTTCTCTGACGTGTCATATCAAAAGACCTTTGAGCAGACTCAAAAACAGGCATCCAATCTTGTGGTGTCGTATTCACAGCCATCACCTGAAAACGCATGGTAGAAGAGGTTTGAAACCGGTCTGGATCAAATTGCTCAGCAGTGCGCTTGATGCCGTGCAAAATCTGTTTGATCATGTCATCAGGATAATGCTGCGAAAGAGTGGTTTCTTTTCCAACCAAAGGGACGCATTGTTGAAGTTGCTCTGGATCAAGTTTCCTGGTCAAACGCTCAAGTACATGGGGACAGTTGCCAAGGAACTTGAAGCTCTTCTTAATCATCTGACCCTTTGAGTTGGTTCCACCATAGGCCCCTGAATGGCACACCACAAAGTAAACTCCAGGAAGTCGTAGGAGTTTGAGCACCAATGGTTCAAGCCAAAGGCGGCTTGTTGCTGGATTTTCCAAAAGAAAGTATCGGCCTTCTTCAGCTTGTTTCACACACCAGCGGACAACTCGCCGCAAAACTTTTCTGGCCTTCTCTCTCCGCATGAGCAGCAGGATCTTGCGCCTCACGTAGTTGGTGTTGTCCTGAAGTAGGCACCAATCTTTGCATTCAATGCCCTGCACAAGGAAGAGAGGCTTGAAGCGGTCAAGCAGAAAATCCACATGTTGTTGGTGTGTGAGTTTCTCCAAGTCATAGCCGGTGTTATTGTCAATGGGCTGAAGCGCTTTCAGGCCAAAGCGAGATGCCCTCAAGGTCAGTCCAGCCCGTCCTGCGAAGGTCTCCAGCAAATCCACCCGTGGCCTGCTCTTCAACAAGGTCAAAGGTGAGGTGGATGTAGTGCCAGCCATCATCACATCATGTTCAACTTGGAGTATGTGAGCCGCTTGGCGCACAGCATGTCGCAAATTCTTCCGTTCCAAGTTGGTCGAAAAACCTTGTTGTGGCTGTGGGTGAAGACGAAAAGTGGTCTTTCCAATCCAGAGTTGTTTCATGCTGGATGCCCCGGACACGTTCCAGTCATAGTTCATCACCTGTGTCCTGCCATCCTCATACAACATTTCAACTGTGCATTCCGTGCACAGCCGTCTCACATGCACTGGACATGGATCGCCCTGGTAAAGGTCATTCACATTGAAGAGTCTTTTGCGTGGGATGTTGTGGATCCTTGAAACTGTGTTTTTGTCAACCTCCCACCAATCAATCTCTTCTTCATCATCCATCACGTGAAGTCCTGGATGTCCATGGCGATGTCGAACGGTTGAAACCCGTCCTCGCCCCCATCCGACTCTGGTGGGAAAGCTTCTGGGTCCCACGTCTCTGGCCAATCCTCCGCCGGGTCCAAAGCTGGCATGTAGGCCACTGGAACTGCTTTCGCCTTGGGCTTGGCGCGGGCTTTCGAAGTCGTAGTTCTCGAAGCTCTTGAAGTCCTGCCCGTGCTCGTTCCAGGGTTCGCCAGGATTGTGGAAGATGAGGGCGGTGGCAAGTGCGAAGAAGCTTGTGATGGCGCCTCTCCATGAAGTTGCCATCCTTCTTGGTCTTGGTCCCATTTGAACCTCTGGCCGCACCGTTTGCATCGGCTGAAAGAGCCGTGGATGTTCCCGTAGCGGCGGCACACTGGGTGAGTGCACGTCGCCGGGTTGGCCAATGTCACCGGCCTCATCACTTCGCGTCTTTGTGCTTCCACCTCGGCCATATGCTCCCACATTGTCAGCCATTGGCGGCTTGCCAGGCCGAACTTCACCATCTTTGACATTGCCCTGAAAGCATTGAGCCGCAGGGTCATCACCATGATGAACATCATCTCCCATCGCTTCAGCCATTCTGGCGCAGTCTGCCGGAACATCAGCCGGTAGCAGCGCTTGCGGGGGAAGGTCACGAATTGAGCCTTTGTTAAAAGCTCCAGGTGCATGTAAAAGCTCAGGATCAGGATCTTGCCAAAGATGTGGATTGGAGAGTTGCTTCCAGCATGGATGACGTGCAATTTCATCTGAAAACTTCACAATACAAACTGCAAGGTGCCCATGTCTATGTGTCAAAGGCAATGTCACTCCCAAATTGGAAAACGTGATGCACTTCGTGAACATGTCGATGATGCAACCCAAACGTTCCAAGAGAGTTCTGCTTGCCAAAAACGGAATGTTTGTTGGTAAAACACTTGCACCAAAAACGATTCCCTTGGTCTCCTGGCCTTCCATCTGGACCGGGAAATAGGCACGCTCTGCAGCTGCGATCGGCTTGCCTGAGCCGAATTGAAAGTGGTCTGTTGCATCCACCTTTTTGACTTGGAGGTGGTATGTGTTGAGGATCTTGTCGTGTGTTTTCAACCAAACTTCACCACAACATGAACGTTGGCATGCCGTGTCCAACACCATGAAGCCCCCAAGGTCAATGGTTTCCGTTACCCATGTAGTGGATGTTGAATCGGCGCCAAAAACAGAAACGGTGGTAAAAGAAAAATAAGTGGTAGAACGGCTCGGAGTGATCTCATCATCATGTTCATGTTCATGTTCATGCTGGTCGTGCTGAATGCCCACGACATAGGCTTTCTTAATATTCTTCTGGGCATGTGAGGATGTAGATGAAAAAGAAGACGAACCCCCATTGCCGCTCTTAAATCCTTTTCCACCTGAGTCGCGCTTCTGTGCTGAAACGCTACATGCAGCGTCGCCAGCCCAATGGCCGGTCTGACCACACGCACTGCACGTGCTGGTGCGCTTGCGTTCTTCGATCGATTTTCTGTTGGTAAACTTCCTTCCCAGCACTGAAGCCTGAAGCTTCTTGGAGGTGACGGTGAGGACCTGTGCAAGATCGGCTAAGGCATTGACATCTAAAGGTTCATCGCCATCACCGTCGGCGTCTTCGTCGCCTTCAGGGATTGGTTCCAGCTCCTCGTCATTCTCATTGGGTTCCTGCGGATCTTCAAATTCATCATCTTCAGCATCATCTGGCTTTTCATCTTCTCCAGCTTCGTGTTCCGTTTGGAAGACGCTACGAGGAGGGCCCTTGCCGTAGGGATACGTCTTTGGCGTGTTCCCTTTTCCTGTGAAACGGCCCTTTCCAGATGAAGCTGATGTCGACGAAGACCTAAATGACCCCGTAGAGCCTTTGGATGAGGATGAGCTTGAAGACGATGAAGCGGATCCCTGTTGATGTGCTTGTCGAATCCCGCCAGTGATCCAAATCGGTGGTGTCGGCTTGAAGTCCGGGAACTGCAAAAACATGGATTCGGTGATCTTGGCATAGTCAAGGCTGTTTCCGGCCCCGATCATCACCAATCTTTGCAAGTCAGGTGATAACTGGCATCGCTCCATGATTCTGTTGCCTCGGGCCTCACTGTCGTACATAGTGCTGGTCTCAATGCCAACAGTCTGAAGGTCTCGTTCAATGCGACAGTACCTGTTGACGTACTGTCGCACAGTCTCGTTGCCATGGCGTCTAACGCCTTCGAAGTCTGCAAGAAGCTTGCGTTTCTGAAACAGAACTTTCTGCTGCAAAGGCCCCCTCAGCTCCTCAAGGATGTAGTTGACACCATTCTTGTCGTTGATTCTTTTCAAATCCAAATGTTCGGCTTCTGCTTCTGCCTCACCCTGTAGTGAGGTATACAAAGCCAATCCCATCTCTGAAGCTGTCATGAAGCTCTTCGCCCGCAGCACCCAAGTCTGGACTTTGCGCTCAAACTTGGCGAAAGCTCTGAGGTCCGACTGCTGGTATGTCCACTTTGGTGGAAGTGGTGCAGCGCCACCTCTCCATCGAACTCCAGGAGCGGGACCCCGCAAACTGTTCCATGAGACCTCGCTGCCTGTGTTGAAATGCTTCTTCTCGTCCAACAGCTGTCGCATCACTGACAGCATGTCTTCTCGGTCATCATTGCGTTGGGCTCGGTTAGGAGGATCATCTCGTTGAACCGCAGCATCAGGAAGGTGAGGTCGTTGTAGTGTCTCGCTAGCTCCACTCATTGAACCACCTGCTCGCCTGCGTCGGCGTCTTGCCTGATGAAAAGGTCCATCTGGATTGACGACCGGGTCATAGGTTGGTGCCTCACTCTCAGGCGTCTCGGATCTTCCACCAGAATTGCCATCTGGAGGAAAGCCACGAGCCGTCTTGGGGCCACTCTGACCTAAGCCCTCGCCAGCAGACATAGGGGAGCCTTGAGCGGAAATGTCACGCCCAGCGTCACCCGAACAGTCGCCACTGCCCGCTGGACTTGGACTGTGAGGGACATACATCCAAGTGCCTGATTGTGTTTCCAGCTTGGTCGGCCGGTTTTCGTCATAGAAATCACAGCTTCCACACTGGCTGCACTTATAGAAACCCATCTCATAGTCCCAGCTCCAAGCTGCAGAACAACAAACCAAGCATCGCCAACGGGCTGCTACCTCAGTAGGTTCCCTAGGATCGACCTCTGAAGGAGTCCCATCAGAGCGTTCATCAATCAGTCGGCGCTCTTCACGTGCCAGCTCTGAAGGTGTCCAATCGAGAGATTCATTTTCGAAAGGATCTGTCTCATCCAGAGGTTGGCTCCGGTGCCAACTGACCATAACGCTTGCACGACGCGTTAGGTCTTCAAATGCAAATGTGCAACATGGCTGAAAGTGCAAAGGACGCTGCCTTTTTCGCAAAGAATCTAAGCTCGAGTGGCCACTGCAGATCGGACGGCCAACTGATGGCACCTGAAACCCTTAGCAAGCAGGAATGTCATGTCATGCGCTGAAGATGCTGTGGTGATTTCACATTTAAACACTTTCTGAAACACATATTTGAACTCCAACATGGCCCTTTAAAATCCGTTGTATGTCATCCTTAGCAAAGTTCACAACAAAAATCGGACATCTCCAAGTTTGGCATCCCCCCTGTTCACCCCATCCTTCGGCCCGAGGAGCAGTGTCCCCCAGTTGGGTTCCATGAGACCTACCTGAAAGGGCACCACCGTCACCACCCAGCCCAACGCTAGCATGGTCAGCACCTGGCAGATGGGAAAAGGCCAGGCTATGCGGCGATTTTTCATTATTTCAATGCCCCTGAAAGAGAATTTCAGGTTCAGCACTGGCTCTTCAAACATTTTGGGCCACTTTGTCGGGATGTATTTAAGATTGAGGGGCTGAGATCATTGCGTTGTTTCACAGGTGTCCTTTCCAGTCCTGGGAGTAGTTGTCAACGTAGATTAAAAACTACTATATGCAATCAAACATAGTCAAACCAAATGAAGACCATTTTAAGGTACTAAAATTGATTGAGGGGTTAAAGTGGTGTGATAGCTCCTATGGTAAAAATCATGTAGTATCATCAAACTACTCCAGAACATTAAGCATTATTGTTGTATTCTGTCTGAATGGTGTTGTGTGAAAGGTTTTGGACGCGTTTGGATGATTTTTGGGCATGTATGTGCCCAGTTACAGTAAACCATGTGAAACCATTTAATGCAACGGGAACTTTTTTTTGGTGCCAATCCATTTATATATATATATATATCTATCATATAATTGCATATATATATATATATATGCATTATAACTGCTATATAACGCCTGATGAATATGGACTACTGTAAGCCGCCAAAGGCCTTCCCATCACGGTCGGAAAATCATGGAAAATCCCCACCTGCCACGCAGCAAACTTGTTGCCTCGGCCGGCAGGGACCCTGGGACCCCGGGACCCTCCGGTGTTGTTTCAAACGTGGCCCTGGAGCATCCCCTACAGGATGGGGCCCGCAGGCCCCCAAGATAGCTAAGTTGCCTTATAAGTGGTTTAACTATGGATATACTATGGATTATGGTAGATATATGTAGATAAAACTATGGCTTATGGGGACCGCAAAAAGGGGCATTTGCAAAGTGGGGCCTCCTAGATAGCTCAGTTGGTTTATAACTTCCAATAATCGTGGTTTATGATACCTATAGCTATATAGTTAATGATTATATAATGGGGTTTATAAAACAAATTATAACTGGGGGGCACCATCCTGTATAAACGGAGGTTTTAGTGGGAAAATCAATGATGGTAAAATGCGGGAAAATCCCACACCAAAACGAAGGCTTACAGCTGGGAAAATCATCGAACTAAATGGTGGACTTTTAGTTGCCATGTTTGATTCTAATATGGTAATCCATGACTTTTCTGCTTGTACTATAGTATATGCTTGTGTCATGATGTGTGGGATCATGGTAGATTCCCTACATCAAACATCGTCGGAAGTAGGGACGCCACCATTTGCATTTGGGTTCACCTGGCTAGCTCGGCCAGTGTATGGATGCTCATGCCCCAGCATGACCACTAGCTAGTGTGATCCATAGGTAGCATCTCCAAACATGGGATTGTCACTAGCCTCCCTATTATTACCCCTATGCCATTCCTTATATTCCATTTTACAGAACATATAACAGTATCATATCATATATTATCATATCATATCTATAATTTGGCACCATGTTCCCATTATCCTCAGTCAACCAGTATGACCCCCTTTTCTGACCAGATTTCGGTGGATTCGTGTCCGCGCAACGCCCAGTTGCTTCGCTGTGGGTTCACTACAAACCAAGCCTTCTTTTCGTAGGCCACCTCTGGCGAATCCACTCGGGGAACCCGTCGCAATGGGCGCAATGGGCAATCATTGGAGGGGTCAGGATTCTCATGAAAAACATTGAACATCCTGTTTTAATTGGAGGTTTATGGCTGGGAAAATCTTCTCTCTCTCTCTATATCATCTATGGACATGGGTGATTTTCCAGCTAGCCATGTTTGAGTACTGGAGGGTAAAGACTATAATGTTTCCTGGGAAAACAGTGAGTCATTCGCGGATGTAGGTGTAACCCAGCTGGTGAGCTTCCAAAACATAGCACGAAACTATCGGAATCACGGCTGCGGAGGGGGGAAGCTGGAAACTGCCTATGGCACCAAAACCCAAATCTACACAAATGGTAAACCTCAATGAACCCTATTATATACCCAAATACATCTACAAAACCACACAATACCTGAATAGCTTCATCATCTTCATCTAACCCACCCCATCTCCCTTTCTCCAGACCTCCACCACCTGCTTGTCTCGAACAATTTCGAACTGCGCTTGGAGCATGGCATCTGCCTGTGTTCGGTTGATATTCTTTGGCGTGGCGTTGGTTCGGGCAGGGCTGCTGTGCGACGACGACCAGCCCTCCATTGGGCCACGCTCGTCCTCGCTATCGCCGTGAGGACCGGAGAAGGTCAACTTCGGCGCCTTCTGCCTTGGGACTGCAGTACGATGTGCCATGGGGACCGCAAAAAGGGGCATCTGCAAAGTGGGGCCCCCTAGATACTAAAGTTGGTTTATAACTTCCATAACTATGGTTTATGATACCTATTACTATAGTTATATTTCGGACTGGTGACTTAGGACTTAGGCCACCATAGTGACATAGGAATTTGTGCACCAAGTCCTAAGTCACTGGTGTTCTTACCAGGTGATTTGTGTGCACCAAGTCCTAAGTCACTGGGGTTGTGATTGGATTCAAGCACTTTTTAAGTTTAAAAAAAAAATCTTCTCTGAATAAGTCATCAGAATCTACATACTTACAGAACATTACAGTACAGTACATTACATCACTACAATACAGTAAAATACAGTACATTACATTACACTACAGTACATTACATTACATTACATTACAGCACATTACAGTACATTATATTACATACATGCACAGGACTTGGTGCACAAAATCGTATGTCACTAGAGCGGCACAAGTCCTAAGTCACCAAAACCTACATACTTACAGAACATTACAGTACAGTACAGCACATTACATTACACTACAGTACATTACATTACCTTACAGTAAAGTACAGTACATTACATCACACTACAGTACATTACATTACAGTAAAGTGCAGTACATTACATTACACTACAGTACATTACATTACATTACATTACAGTACAGTACATTACAGTACATACATGCATAGGGTTTGGTGCACAAAAATCGTATGTCACCAGAGGGGCACAAGTCCTAAGTCATCAGAACCTACATACTTACAGTAAAGTACAATACATTACATTACATTACACTACAGTACATTACATTACAGTACGGTACATTACAGTACATACATGCATAGGACTTGGTGCACAAAATCGTATGTCACTAGAGGGGCACAAGTCCTAAGTCATCAGGACCTACATACTTACAGTACATTACAGTACAGTACAGTACATTACACTACAGTACATTACATTACATTGCAGTAAAGTGCAGTACATTACATTACACTACAGTACATTACATTACAGTACAGTACATTACAGTACATACATGCAAAGGACTTGGAAATCGTCTGTCACCAGAGGGGCACAAGTCCTAAGTCATCAGAACGTACATACATATATTACATTACATTGCAATACAATACATTACATCCCAATACATTTTTCATTTTTTTCAATTTATTTAATTGCTTTAAAATACTGTCTATATATAAATCGAAGGAAAAAATTGGAAAATCACAGATTTTTTTTGAAATATGTTTTTTTGAAGATGGGCACAAGTCCTAAGTCATCATTTTTTCAACGATTGGCTCGAGGACTTCGACCCAACGACGGGGTAGTGCAATGGGAACCACAATAGGGAAACACAACGGGAAGTGGTCCCCGTTGCGCTACCCCGTTTTTGGGTCGAAGTCCTCGAGCCAATCGTTGAAAAAATGATGACTTAGGACTTGTGCCCATCTTCAAAAAAACATATTTCAAAAAAAAATCTGTGATTTTCCATTTTTTTCCTTCGATTTATATATAGACAGTATTTTAAAGCAATTAAATAAATTGAAAAATATAATTTTGTTTTTTTCACTTTTCCTTTTTCTCTGTGGTTTCCCGTTTTGTTTCCCCGTTTTGCTTCCGTATTGTATTCCCCCGTTGCACTACCCCGTCGTTGGGTCGAAGTCCTCGAGCCTGCCTTTCCGCCAACGCGCGCGCGCGTTAAACGCGCGCGCGCGCGTTGGTGGAAAGGCGGAGAGGCTGGCCCGAGGACTTCGACCCGGTTCCCCGAGATCCAGTGCCAGCTCTCAGCCGGAAACCACAACGGGGTGTTACAACGGGGAGACACAAAGGGAGAAAAATAACGGGGAAATGATGCAAAATGAGAAATGTCAAAAAAATGAAAATCACAGATTTTTGAAAACTAGAAAAAACTGCTTTTGTAACATAGTGAAATGTTAAAATTTGTTCATATCTATCTGAAAAAAAAATCACAGATTTTTGTGAAATATTTTTTTGAAGATGGGCACAAGTCCTAAGTCATCATTTTTTCAACGGTTGGCTCCAGGACTTCGACCCAACGACGGGGTAGTGCAACGGGGGAATACAATACGGAAGCACAACGGGGAAACAAAACGGGAAACCACAGAGAAAAAGGAAAAGTGAAAAAAACAAAATTATATTTTTCAATTTATTTAATTGCTTTAAAATACTGTCTATATATAAATCGAAGGAAAAAAATCGAAAATCACAGATTTTTTTTGAAATATGTTTTTTTGAAGATGGGCACAAGTCCCAAGTCATCATTTTTTCAACGATTGGCTCGAGGACTTCGACCCAAAAACGGGGTAGCGCAACGGGGACCACTTCCCGTTGTGTTTCCCTATTGTGGTTCCCATTGCACTACCCCGTCGTTGGGTCGAAGTCCTCGAGCCAATCGTTGAAAAAATGATGACTTAGGACTTGTGCCCATCTTCAAAAAAACATATTTCAAAAAAAATCTGTGATTTTCCATTTTTTTCCTTCGATTTATATATAGACAGTATTTTAAAGCAATTAAATAAATTGAAAAAAATGAAAAATGTATTGGGATGTAATGTATTGTATTGCAATGTAATGTAATATATGTATGTACGTTCTGATGACTTAGGACTTGTGCCCCTCTGGTGACAGACGATTTCCAAGTCCTTTGCATGTATGTACTGTAATGTACTGTACTGTAATGTAATGTACTGTAGTGTAATGTAATGTACTGCACTTTACTGCAATGTAATGTAATGTACTGTAGTGTAATGTACTGTACTGTAATGTACTGTAAGTGTGTAGGTCCTGATGACTTAGGACTTGTGCCCCTCTAGTGACATACGATTTTGTGCACCAAGTCCTATGCATGTATGTACTGTAATGTACCGTACTGTAATGTAATGTAATGTACTGTAGTGTAATGTAATGTAATGTATTGTACTTTACTGTAAGTATGTAGGTTCTGATGACTTAGGACTTGTGCCCCTCTGGTGACATACGATTTTTGTGCACCAAACCCTATGCATGTATGTACTGTAATGTACTGTACTGTAATGTAATGTAATGTACTGTAGTGTAATGTAATGTACTGCACTTTACTGTAATGTAATGTACTGTAGTGTGATGTAATGTACTGTACTTTACTGTAAGGTAATGTAATGTACTGTAGTGTAATGTAATGTACTGTACTGTACTGTAATGTTCTGTAAGTATGTAGGTTTTGGTGACTTAGGACTTGTGCCCCTCTAGTGACATACGATTTTTGTGCACCAAACCCTATGCATGTATGTACTGTAATGTACTGTACTGTAATGTAATGTAATGTACTGTAGTGTAATGTAATGTACTGCACTTTACTGTAATGTAATGTACTGTAGTGTGATGTAATGTACTGTACTTTACTGTAAGGTAATGTAATGTACTGTAGTGTAATGTAATGTACTGTACTGTACTGTAATGTTCTGTAAGTATGTAGGTTTTGGTGACTTAGGACTTGTGCCCCTCTAGTGACATACGATTTTGTGCACCAAGTGCTGTGCATGTATGTAATATAATGTACTGTAATGTGCTGTGATGTAATGTAATGTACTGTAGTGTAATGTAATGTACTGTACTTTACTGTATTGTAGTGATGTAATGTACTGTACTGTAATGTTCTGTAAGTATGTAGATTCTGATGACTTATTCAGAGAGGATTTTTTTTAACTTAAAAAGTGCTGCAGCGCACGAGCGTGATGACTTAGGATCATCTTAATATATTTCTGCTAGTTCATTCCTATGTCATCATGGTTTTACAAGTGGTCCATGCCGCACTAAAAAAAATCAAACATAGTTTCTAATCTCGTCGGACACCTGATGAGTTGGGACTTGTGCCGGGGGGGTCCGACGCATGATGAGATAGGACTTGGCCACACCAGGGTATCTTTCACAAGTCCTAAGTCACTCGCTTGAAATGTAATATATGTATGAATTGGAAACGGGATCGTCAAATGCCCAACTTTTACCACGGCAGCGCGGTATGACTCAAGGGCCCTAAAGCCAAATGTCAACGGGGCATGTGATCACTTGGCTATACAAAATATACATTAGACAGGTCAAACTCACACTCAACCTGTTCTTCAAGGATCACATGATGCTAGTGAAAAAGTTGGCTCTAAGGCTTCTTCTGTACACGATAAATGCACTCCTTCAAAACGCGGATGATGAGGTCCGGGCGCATGCTCTTGGTCAGAGCATCCGAGACCATAGTTCCTGTAGCAATCCAGGTAACAATGTCTCCTCCGCCATGATGCATATCCCAGGTCCTCCGGCCGTCTTGCCAAAGTGACTCATGAATCGACCGCAACTCAATGCCGAGTCGTTTGTCTGCGACCCTGCCGAGTACCTCATTCGCAAGATGGTCTGTTAGAGACCTGCAGTCTGAAAGCATCAGTTGTGGAATACAGCTGCGGCTGTCATCCAACCATGTTTTCATCGAGTCAAGTTGGCCCATCAGTTCGGCCAATGCTCCACGTAGCTTGTCACCGCTCTCTTGTCCAGCCTGCAGTGAATAAGCCTCGCATTGAAGAGTGCTGCGGCATACTCGCCGAATTGTATTTGATGCAAATCCCAATGGCATCACCCTGTAGGATGTAGTCTTGGGGTCTTTGATCTCATTGATGTCTCCAAGAAAATGGAAACGTCCTTGTTGTGATTTGTAGTTCTTCTCGTTTGAAAATGAAGCATCTGTTACTGTAATGATACCAACCTCTCCCCAGGTTAGATGTCCACCTGGAAAAATGAGCTTGTTCTCAATGCCTTGTTGTGCCAGCTGTACTACGGCATTTGCGTCGTGCAAAATAGCAACTGTCGCTCCAGAAATACTGGACTGTAGGCGGCTCACACGATAACCCAAATCGGGTCTAGTCTGTCTTGCCACCCATGCCAATGATCCCGTTACAGACCGTAATCGGGTCACATCATCCTTAC